ATGCTTCGTGTCGAATGAGGTGGTAGCTTAGGATAAGTGCAGGATACTATAATGAAGCTACCAAGTGCTCTAGTGTTTCTGTGTAAATTAACACAAGATAATCTCTTCACATATTTAAGTGATGCACTTCAAACTAATTAATACATATTTAATAGAAGTCTTCTTGAACAGCTGTTATTTACTTCTAGAGTTTCTACACATTAGCACAGTTTCCTTTATTCTGCTCCAAAGTTATTTGAGCGCCATATTACTTTGAAAACTTGTGTTGTGTAAAATTGAGCACTCTTCCCAAAAGAGACAGCCTTCTTGATAACTTAATATTTTACATTAAATATTCAAGCATTTTTTTAAACAAAAAGGTCAAATTCTATTTATGGCATCTGTGTGCAATAGACAAGCAGATGCTTAATGCTGCTAGACAAACACTTTCAGCAGTGTGAATGATAGAGAGTTGGTGATCAATCATCCTCCCAGGCTTTAAAATCAGATTTTCTTTGCTTCTGGTCCCTAAATCCTGCAGTTACATCTTGTATGCAATAATTTAGGGCCAAATTATGGCCTTGCTTCTCTTCTAAGTGCTACTCAATCAGGTGCCAAAATGCGGTAATAGCTGAGTGAAAGTGCTCTGTCTTAGGCATTCAAGGCCCATTAGAAGTTTTTCCTTTTATAAGCCTACTGGGTGCTTAATATTATTGCATTTAGCCTTACAGTCACTGCTGGAATGTGGATTCCTGTTTCATAAGAAGAGCTACTGCAAAAATAGAGCGTGCTGTGCTTTTCATTTAGTTCGCTACAGCATTATTCAACACACGGGGCCCAATTCTCTTTTTATTTAACACCAGTTTTGCCCTGATGCAACTCCATTGGTATCAATCATGACTTGCATAACTGACAGTGATCAATTCCTGACTTACAGTGCTGTGAGTGTAACCAGGGACACCTGAATAATTTAAATGGCATAAAGAGAAATAGTCTCATTCTTAAAAAAAAGAAAACTAAACTAAACTAAGAACATGTCCCACTGGATTTTTGCATACAGCTATAATTCAGATACCCAAGAGACTAAGATTTGGAGTTTGCTTATGCTTTCTTCATGATCTGCAGGACCAAGCCATGCCAGAGGTGCCTGCTGCTATCTGCCAGTTCAACAACTGGAAGTGCACAAACCGTCCTTGACTTCTGAGCTGTGGGGAGGAGCAAAGGTCCAACAGGGCCTGAAGAGAAATCACCAGAACATGAAGTATTACTTCATCACACACTAAATTTCTGCAGGGGCATTGTCTTGCAGCGCTGATCCAAGGTGAAGGACTTGAAGTGGCGGTGCAAGCTGATAAGAGGTGTCAACTCCCAATTGGACACTGGTCCTGCTACAGCTTATTCCTAGGAAAAGTTGGACGGGCTCTTGTCCACAGATCTTAGTATCAAGCCACATTTTCTGGAAGATCTGGGGGCCAACTTGGACAAAATTTAGGTTAAAAACTTCTAGGGCTTTTTTGCCATCCAGAAGCCTGGTCCAGCCTTGCCCCAGCATCCTGAGGTAGACGCTGATGCCGCTCATTTCCCTGCCAAGCAATCCGGCTGCCAACCAACTCCTGGTGTCCACACTGGATCCATCAACAGCACAGATCAGCTTAGAGACAGAAGAACAGCAGATGAGGAAGATGCTGAGAAGTATACTTTTTTGGATTAGATGTCTGTTCATGTTCACATGAAATCAGCTGGTGTTGGTATGTCACTGTGCCTGGACGTTGTCATCAAAGCCAGACATAAGCCAATGCTGCTTCCAACCCTCCATTCACCTCACAGTAGCTGATGGCTAAGTCTTGCATGCAGAAGCAGGCTTTTCCCTGGTTCTCCTCTCCCACTTTTGCCACTTGACTTGAGTTAGGCTCCCAGAGTGCACTTCCAGGCCTGGGTACCACTCCTGAAGGTTGAAATGTTTCATGCAGCAGTGAAATCACAGTTGTCAATGCCCCTTGAGGGGTATTAGCACAGTCAAAATGGCATTTCCTTCTACTATTGAAAATGCCACATAAATGTAGGTGGATGGGACTTGCATACCCACACACCACTGACCAAGGCAATACCAAGCAAAAGCATGGGGAATAGCGATTACTTGCATTTATAGCCTGGTAGACCAGTGTTAGGCCCACAGTGGGCTGCCCACGGAAGAGACATACAAGGACTTGGGAGACAGGAATTTCTCAAGCTAAGTGCTGACACTGATGGGTGTGGACTTTGCCCGTTTTGGGGGGGGGGGGGGTTAAAAAAAAACAGTGTTCCCCTTCTATTCCTGCAGGACCTCAGAAGCTAGGCCAGTTCAACCCTTCTGCCCCAAGCTAGCTCGCTGCACCCAGAGATCCCAGCCTTGAAATGGGCAGAGGAAATTCTCTCCTCCATGCCCCTGAGCCTTGCCTCATGGTTCATCCAGTTGACATGACTACTTTTTCTACACTTGCTCAGTTTGCTCCCCTGTTCATGTTTAAGCTTTTTTGTTTTGCATTTTGCTGCAGGTCTGAAGCCTCTCTCAATGCAGACTTCTCATTTTGCACTTATTAAAAACAAAAACAAAAACCCACAACCAAACCTCCCCCCACAAAACAAAAATAAAAAAACAATGACTTATTGTGGTTAATTTCTTCCGGTCCTTACAAAAATCAACGGATGACTGGGGTTCCCAGGAAGTGGCCAAGTGCAAGCGAGGCAGGCAAGCCAAATGCATCTGCATTTAAAGGGCTCAGCTGCAGAGCAGACAGATTTCATGAGGAAAAGATTAATAAATACAAGTCACCTCTGCAGAGAGGTACTAAAGAATAAAGGCATCCATACCTCTATAGAGCCCAAGGGGCCTCTTCCCAAGCAGGCAGCAGGACCAGGCATAGGAAATATGCAGAGGAATGAGTCTAAAGGGAGAATATAAAAGCTTGCCTACCTCCACCGATGCCGAGAGCACAAGGTGGGTGAGCAGTTCTGGCTACACACAGCAGCACTGAGACCTTCCTGCCAGAGCCCCAGCAGCATGCCAGCATGACTGTGCCCTTTCCACAAAATATGTGGTTAAGCCTCCCAAACGAGGTGTCCCTGCCAGTTGGTGAGGGTTCTGATTGATCTGCTTGAGCAGCTGGCCAGTTCTCTGCCTCCACCTCCAAGCTTAGCTTAGGCTTTTGCCCTTGTTCTTGTAGATATTTTGCAACAAGCAACAGGCAAACCAGATCCCGGACAAGTACTGCGCAGCTGCCTCTGCCATGGACTGCATAGCACCTAAGCTATATACCAGTGGTATATTCCACTGTCAGCCACAGCTGTTCAGTCGATAGCTAAACAGTTTCTCTCTGTGAAAAACAGTGTAAACTTCATGAGCCACGGCAATAATGTATATACTGAGAATCAGGGGGAACAGTTGCACAATTGATCTTTAAGCTGCAAGTAACTGTAACCGAATCTCCCTATGTTCTTCAGAAAAACCAAGGTGGGACTTTTGAAGACAGGGCATTTCTCCCTACCACCTAGCAATAACAGGTGTGGATCTCCCACAATGGTCCAACAGACCCTGCAGCAAGATTTGGGGGTGGGGAGGAAGCCAACCCCTTCCTGTTTATGAACTTCCAGGCCTCCTGGGTCAGAGAAAGAATGGAAAAGCATGTTCCATCCATCAACGATGCAGTTGGGGAACCCCATGTATTCAAGTTGAACAGAATGGAGGGGGGCATTACCTTTTCTATAGCTGCATATACCTCTCACGCAGCAGCACTAAAAGATCTGTCTATGCTAAACTAGCTTACAACAGACCAGTAACAGCCAGTGATGGCCAGTGTCCAGAGAGCTACTGCAACTCCCTTCTAGTTAAATCAGTGCTGGTGATGTGACCTCTGCTGCTCTGGGACTAGCTCTACACAGGTTTTCAGGAGACTGGTCTCTCATTTCAAAATTCTCCTGCCACTGTTGATCATTCCATCTATGCGGAATAAGCCATACATACCATCAGTCTGTGCTTATTTCCCATACCAGAACTGATGATCGACAAACAATGGTGGTCACAGAACCAGCCATCCTTACATACCAAATGGAAGATTTTGTCCTCAGCTGGATTTCAATTTCAGCAGGCTGCACAGATCAGTTAAGTGCGGTGTAATAATAATAAGCCTCTGGGTCCTCTGGTGCTGGCCCTACCACAGCATGACTTGCAGCTGCTTGTTGATGTGGCCGAGTACTTGTAGAAGAGTGTAGTAAGCAGCAGGAAGCTAAATTTATTGTCTCAATCTGCTGACAGTTGGCAGAAAACATGTTAAGAAGGTCAAGGTAGGGCATGTCCATGCTGTTGCCTCAGTGTTGAAACGGCTCCGTCTCGGCCTCCCAGAAAAAAAGTTGCCAGGTGAATCTTGGACGTTTTTCACTGAGGACCAGCGAAAGCTGAAGTTGAAGTCTTCTGGGCACCACTGTTCAACTCTTCCACCAAGTACTGAAGCAGACATCCCACGCTGCACTGGAGAAGGCAGGGTTGCAAAGACCCTGAGAGACCAGGCCCCCTGTTTTTGGCACAACTTGTGACACATTCCACTTCATGCAAATGTGAACATTTGGTGCTGGCTTTACAGCTTGGTCTTCTGTCATGACCTACCCATTCGTTAGTCTATGACCTTAATAACAAGTATTTTTTTTCTCTTTGTTATTAGTAACATATGACTAGTAACTAGTTATATTTTACCTTCATAGCAATGAATGTGACATTTAGCAACGTAATCAGAGTATTTAAAAACAAGTAACATCACTGAATAATTATTATCAACATATTTGTTGTAGTTTCTGATTGACTGCTTAAAAATGCTTGCAGTGCTTACAATGAGAGATTGATTGCTGGCTGGTGCTCCTTGCTCACATGCTAGTTTTCTAGCTTCATAGTTTTCTTGAAAATGAATTTCAAAGTTGGCGATAATTCCATTAGAAAATGTGTGACACTACAAGAATAATTTAATCTACTGTGCAATCAGGTATGGAAATATATACAATTGTGAACTGCCTGAAAACCACTGCAGACATACTCAGGTGGAAAAAAATCCTTACTGATTTAAAAACATGGAAATCAGTATTTTAATTGTATACAGCAGTTACTTTTGTAAACAGGACAAATACTATATAATATGCTTTTCATTATTTAGGGTTAAGGATTTAAAGAACAAACAAACAAACAGCCGTCTAAAAAAAGGCGCTGTCAGAATACTTAGCATTGTCAGACAAGCAAGGTTTCTAAAGAACCCCATAATCCTACGTGTTGCCTGTAGATTCTGCCTGGGAATTGTGAAGGTATGGAAAAGGATGACTACGATCCCCAAGTCATTGCCCGACCTTCCCTGTAAAACAGGGTCTGCAGGAGACTGGCCAGCAAGTTGCATCACTTCTTAAGGGAAGAAGTGAAAATTCTGCAGACAGAAATACCTAGAACACTCTCTTTCCATGATGTGAAATTCCCCCAGAGATGAGTATGTACATCCAGCAGTAAAGTGCTGTCCTAGTCACATGGGTCTGCAAAGTCTGTACTTTCTAAGGCCCACAGCAAACCTAAGTAAGGGAACCTGGAAAAGGCTGAGATGGAGTTTGATGATGTGTTATTTTGGAATTACTTTTATGTTAACAAAATCAAACTTCATAGGGATGACTTTTTTTGCTTCTACAAGATGCAGCTGTGGTTTGGAGTGAGATGAAGAGATGGAGACTGAGGGAAGAGTGGGGAAGGCAGAGGCTGTGGGGAGCTGGAGGTGGGAGGATGCAGGTGGCAGGAGGGGCAGGAAGGTTGCAAGGGGAAGAAGTGGGCAGGGCAGAAGGCAAGAGGGCCACCTGACCACCCTGCCTCAGCCATGGCTTTCCCTGCTGTAGCAGCAGTAGGGTGACAAGTTCAAGACAAACTTCCAATACTTAGATTTTATACCTAGAAAATTACAACAGATTTATAGATTTTCCATATATAGAACCTAATTACTGAGGGTCATCTTATATTCAGAGTTGTCTGATATTTGAGCAAATGTAGTAATTTCACATACACAGTTTAGGAATAGTGTCGCCAGTTTACAATATCGTGCCTAAACACAAGCCTGGAGAGGTAAAGGACTATATTAGATGGTTGAAAAATATCAATACATATTCCTGAGGGCAGAAACTCTTGTGAAAATGTAGACAAATTAAAAAAAAGAAAAAAAGGCAATTCTATGGGAAATGCAATTAAATATTTTCATTTTATTCTTCAGCAAATATTGTGAGTAAATCAATTTCCCAAAATCTTGAACCTCTTAATTATGGCATAGAATTCGACTGTATTTTGAGAAATACATTGTTCTCCTAAAAATGTATGATGTTCTAGAATTTTACAAAGCTTTTGATTTGAAGAGATGACAATGCTTTACAAACATTTACACGGTATATCTTACCCCTGTGAGGTGACAGTATCACTGCCATTTTACAGATGGGGAAACAGATAATTTCTCATCCAATTTACAGTGCTGTTGGCTGTAATCTTAGGGCGTCCCGTGTATAGAATCATATTCTATACATGAAAAAAAAAAAATCTCATTTCATCCTACGATTAACATTAAAGTTGATTTTTGAGCTAAATTCTTATATTGCAGTTAAGAACATATTATTCAAACCTTCAGTTTTAGCCTTGTATTGGCACATGGAATTGAGGGATAAAGAAATATGCCTTCTGTAAATAAATTCCAGAACGCCCATTTATTTTAAAGTCCCACCTGGCTTACTGACCAGCCAAGTAGATTACAGGCTTTTTTAAATTTAATATTATATTATCCATTTCATGTGCACATGGAATGCGTTAGTTGTCCATGGTATATCATATTCCACATGTACACATGCAATGTTATTTGCTGAAAAAAATCATTCTCTCAGTTTACTTATGTGATCCATAAATTGTTTTACTCTGTCAGGATCAACAGTATTTGCCCAGTAACCAGCTTTCTTGAAATACGAACCAATTATTAAGGCATTTGCATCCAGGTAATTCCTCACATTCTCCAGAGTGACTCCAGACCCAATCAACACTGGAATCTTCACAGCTTGTTCAACCTCTAAAATGAAGAGAAATCATACATATAAATGCAATGTTAGGGTTAACCTGGTCTACAATCATTAGTCCACCCTCCAACCCTTAAAGTTGTATCAAGACAAAAGTAATCTGTTGCAACATATCCACTTTGATACTTTATGAAACTGCCAGGAATATTATCCTCTTATTTTCTTTGTTAACAAATGAACATGCCTGTCTGTAGAAGTCACCTGTACCCTTGAACAACCACTATCAAAATGCCACTTATTTTGCATAGCACTGTTCACAACAAAGAGAGAGCATGAGTGAGTTGGGATCATATTAAACAATCACTGCCCACATACCACAGCATAGTTTCAGTGCTCTGGAAGTGACAAAAGCTGAAATGGAGCCATTTAATAGCTATCACTGCTCACATATTTCCCTCGCCCTCCAAGAAGGGGAGGAAGGTATTGGGGCTCGGGGGAATGGGTGAGGGAGAGTAAAATCGCCCTCCTGTGCTCCTTCACTGGTGTACTTTTACCCCATCCTTACAAACCATATGGCCCATGGATGCCACATTCAGAGAACATCTAAAGAGCAGAGCTATGATTCTACTACATCTTGGGCACTTTTATTTCTTATGAATACTAATATAGTATCTACCAGCCTGACTGTGCCAGGTGCAGCAGACACACTGAAAGAGGCAGTCTTTATTGCTTGTATTGCAGTAGCATCTATGACCCAAGTTAATCTAGTTCCAAGATTTATTCTTATGGAAGGAGTTCCTCTGTATCAAATGAAATTCTTAACAGTGATCTCAATTTCTCTCTCAACCCCAAAAAGGAACAGAATAAGAACAAATCTTCCTATAAAGTAATTAAAATGTAACAGCAACAAGAATAAGATGCCACTTTTATTTTCATTTATTGGATCAGCTCTGACCATGGTTTTTTGTGTGTGGTGAGATTATTGAAGTGGCAGAAGTATTCAATAGTGCCATGTTCATTATAATTCTTTAGTCATCAGTTTAAATTAGAGGTGCACTGATACAATCGGTCCGATATCGAATCGGCACTAATATAAAGAACATTTTCTGTATCAGAAATAGGCCCAATGTGGCCAATAATTAGTCCGATAAATGCCCGTGCGTGCAAGCAGCTGCAGCACAGCACGTAGGCAGTGAGGAGTCAAAGGGCACTGTTGGGAAGATTCCTTTCAATAAGAAAAAGCGCAGTGCGATATGAAAGCAGAACATTATTTTATCTAGAGAAAACATATGTTGTTTAGTCATTTAGGGTTTCACTTGGTTAACAGGAGGAACAATTTGCTCGAGTAGGCAACCTGCACAAGGCTCATAGAGCACTGATGAACCACTTTAATCTTATGCAAGCCCCTCTCTGGACCCGAATAAACATCATACAGATTTACTGCAATGACCGCACTGGTTGTGAGGCATAAGGATTCTGGGTGTTTTGATACAGAGACTGACAAAAGGTTTAGTGAAGGCATATTAACATTTTTTTAATTAAAGAAATACTTTGGCAATGTTTCATTTCTTGGATCAATAAAAGAGAGCCGATTAACAGGGCTTCCTGAAAAGCACGAGTCATTATTAGCTATAGAAAATATACAAGTCTAAGAGTTGTTGAGCACCCCCATCATCCATTAGCTTCAAACTAGACTTCAGAGAAGTCACGCTTGCAGGACAGGTTGCTTCATTTGCTTCCTTAGAGAACACCAAGTGAGGCATTATTTCTGACCTTTAAAAACTTATAAAATTGCTTTGCTTGGTGATAACAAGCTGGCATAGGTAGTTAATGCTTCAGGGAAAGCACCTAATGTGAAACATGAGGCTCCTCTAGCAAAGGCGGTTTGATTTTAAAGTTTCATAAGAGGTTTAACGTGCTAATGATACTAGAGAGAAGACTAATTATTTACTGCCACTTTCACTAGGAGAAGGGCTATTGATGGAGTGCTACTGCTACTGAAGCACTCTTTAGGTCAGAGGTGTTAGTATTCTTCTCATCTATATGAACCAGCACCATCTATTGCATGATATAAACAAAAAAAATAATATGACCATCCTACAAGGTCTTTGTGGAAGAAAATTTTAAGCAAAACCATGCCCTGAAATTAGACGCAGTCGGTCTGGTCCTGGAGGCCAAAGAGGAAGGAGCTCTGCAGTAAGGCGTCTCTGATGAGAGACTGAGTGAGATCCAGCTATGTCTGTGAGCCCCAAGTAAAGAGCTGAGGGCTGGCAGGGGATAAGAATCAGTATTGGAGGGTGATTTCTTTACATAGCCAGTAGGCTTAAGAGAACTGAGTTACAACCAATGTGCTTATGTTTTTGGTTTGAGTTTAATTGGTGGACTGGATTTGGGACTGCAGGGGAGGTCAGGAGGTCCCAGCAAGACGTGTACGGCTTGATCTTGCCCGGAGGGGAAGGCGAAAGGAGGCGAGGGCAAGTGACAGTACAGCGGTCCACAAGGGCTGAGCCAGGACCAGGGGCTCACAGCCCAGGAGGGGATGGGAGGAGGGGCCAGGGCCCAGAAAAAGATGGGGATGGGGCCAGAGAGGGCCCACTGAACTGCTTGATTGTTTCACCTGTGAGGCACGTGCAAGGCTACAGGCAAGGTAGCTATATACTGGAGGCTCCTGATGCTCTGGTCCTGTTACAGCATGGTATAAAAAGAGATACTCTTTAAATATTTAAAACCCTTTGACATACTGAGGTCCAGTGCTGATTACATTAAAATGTTTAACATGTTGGTTTTATTTAATGAGAAACCCACCATTCTATTGCCTATAAAATGTCGGCAGCACTGATAGATTCACTAGTGCATAATACTTCTGTGGTAGCACTGAACACCCACCTTCACTTTTGTTCTTTTTCTCTAAATTCAAAACATGGCATGAAACTCTTAAGCCAACTCTCCCCCCACTATTGTGTTTTTTTGATACAGAGAGAAAAGTAGTCCATTTTGTGACTACATATTCAATAAGGCCTCACAGCTTACAGAATTTATGCTTTCCAATAATCTTCGATAAACTGTAACTAGAGGGCACTGTGCTCTTTCTTGTGATATTGCATCTGCATACATGCCTATAATAAAAATTGAATGAAATAAGTGTCCAGTTGCAAAGCATAATGAAAGTTTTTGAACTGTGGCATGCAGAAGTTACATAAATTAAAGACCAAAAGCTCCTAAGCTTAAACAATGGCAAAAAGCAGTGTTTAAAAAAAAAAAAAAAAAAAAAGCACCATTGCACCAATAACTTGCTCTGCTCCTCTTCAACAGCTTTTTCATATGCAGTAATCACTGTACCGTACACACCACTATATTTATGGTAATGCTTCACTGTAACATGTTGGCTCTTTAATTCAAATGACTGTTTCCCTTTATTAAGTCTAGTGCTTGCAAAAGGTGCAGATCAAAGACTTAACGCCTTTCTTTATCTACAGGACAGGTTCAGCAAGGAGAGAAGCAATGTGCTGTTCCACTTTGACCTAACCGATCCCCTGTGTGTAGGAAAGTAAATTAATCTTCGTGCCCCTTCTGTGAACAATACCTGCAAAGGTGCAAATTACTACTAGCTGGTGATTTCTGTGGTGTGGCCACTTGTCCCCTGATTACCGGATTAAGACCACCTATCTTATTTCACACAGGCAACCAAGCAGGCATCAGATATAGTCACTTCCAAACCTGAGCTGTTCGAACTGAAGATGTAAAAGGTGCCTAAAAGCTAAAACACTCATCCCTTAATGCCTGCTCCTTTGTGTCCTAGCAGCAGATGAAACACTGCCGTGCAAGAGACTTGAGTTTCTCACTTCTTGTCCAAGACGCCTTAGGAACTGGACCAGAACTGGACTTAGAACCGGACCAGCTGGATGCTACAGGGAGGCCAAACATTGTTTGCTACATGAACAGTGCCTGCCAGCTGCCTGCCAGCTGCTGTGAGGAATGATACTGTCTTTGTGTTGTCTCCATCACCCTTTGTTCTTTGGACCCAGACAGAATGAAACAGAGGTACTTTCAAAAATTACAGAACCCATGTAATTACAGAATCAATGACTTGGTTGGCTGAAACATCACGGGACAAAACGTACTTTTTGATGTGTACAGCAGCATCCCCTGAAGTCACCAGAAGCTGCTTGCACACATTGGAAAGCAGGTTTTTTGCTCTAAGAATTCTTAAGAGTTGTTCTTTTTTTTTTTTCCAGTGAGGAAGAGAGAAATATTTTGAAACATATACGTAATTTCAGGGGTAAATACACGTTCAAGATTTATAGCCCCTGTAACACGTTTTGTTTTCAATTTTATTAATAATTTTAGCTTTTATGCCACGAAGGTTGCTTTGGCATGGCACATCCAATCAGAACCCAAAATCACCGTGGCTTTTGCTAAACTAAATCAAATTCTAAGTGCCAAGAAGCTTCTCTTTTTATAAGAGCAGTTAGTAAATATATAGATTTCTCTCTCTCTCAATCCAGAAGCCAATGCACTGGCTGTTGTCCGACCTTCCTGTGACAGCTCTCACCTTTCAGTTCTTCAGGATCTGCCGGCATTCCAGTGGCTGTTCCAGTCAATACAATCCCATCAGCAAGGAAGAGCTCAGCAGCCTTGGCAGTCTCAGATACACTGACATCTGCTGTCAGAGCGTGAGCACTGTAAACACCAGGAACACAACCAGCAGTTATTTTCAGCTAACATAACTTACAATCCATCCTGTATAATACTTAGCCTGCTTTTCTCATAACTCTTGATTGTACTTCACTTCCCTGTTGTCAGAACAACTGAAGATTGACTTTTTTTTTTTTTGTTTTAAGAGTAAGGATAAGTGTCCTGCTTCATAGCAGGAATTAAAATCACAATGTGAGCAAGAAATAAATAGCTTTTCCATCTTGGGACCTTTCACCTATTTGTCTACTTCTCTCTGTCTCTCCCTGCTGCAAACAATGATTGCTAAGTGTGCATACCAGAGGGCCAATCAAGGAGGCTGCTTTTGTCTTGAGTACCTGAAATTTCCAGTACTGAGCATCTACCACTCAGTTGAAATGGAGCTGTGGATGCTCAGCTTCTCCACAGATTTGATCTCTATCACCTAGGAAGCAGTAGATTTAAATCCTCACCTCATTTCACAAAATCCAGGAAACAGTCATTAACTATCTTTGTATCCAGGATATTGGTCATTGAAGGAGAAACAGAAGCAGCCATCTTATTCATGTAGCAGTAATTTCATACATCCCAGAGATGTACAATTCACCTTTTAGGCAGTGGCAGATGCATGGGTGAAGCTTTTTGTCCGAAATTAGTATCTACAGCAACCTCAGCTATAAACAGTTTTAAATTTGACAGTGTTTTAGCTTCTGAAACTTCAACTCTTACATGTTTATCTTCTTCTATCTTTTCTACATTAGTATCAGTTACAGGAATTGCAAGAGAGTCAATACCACTTATCTGACAGTTTGGAGCATTAACCACAAATAACCAGCCACAGGACTAGTCTCTTTCTTCCTGGGTCAGCCAAGCCTGGGAATGGAAGGAGAGGACCATGCTCTCCCCACATTGGGAAGTGACGTATATTCACTTGCCACAACCCTACTAAATATCCTAAACATCAATAGATCATTTTTCCAAGACAAATGATGGGCTTCCGTGTTACAAGCACCACATTCTGGGACTCTCAGGGAAGAAAACAATGCCACTGCACATCTGCTTAAAATATGAAGTAAAATTATTAAAAATGCTCTTAAGGAGCCTTTATGCTGACAGGATCAGATTGCATCTATTATACTTTAAAATGTTAAATGTATTTTTAAATCTGGCATGTAACCTGACAAAGACCTGCTTTTTTCCATGCTTTTTTTCCAAAACAAACCTTTCTTGAAATATTACCTATGCAGTACACAGGTTTTGGGTTCTTTCTTATTCTGAAAAAGTCTTAAAGAAACATCTAATAACTGAAAAGACAACGTGAAAATTATGATGGAATGTCAGTCAAACAAAGCTGAATTCACATAGCTGTCATAAGATCTTTCTGTTTGATAATTATAAACATACCCACATTCACATGCACCATTCCTCTGAACTGTATAAACATAAGGAAAGAAATATATTAAAAAATCCAGTAAGTGTGGCAAAAACCTCATGATAAGGATGCTTTGCATGCAACAGCTCTCTCATGCTGCTTAAAACAGCTATTTCAGATGCTTAGCTTCCTGAAACAATTTCTTTATTTGTAAACCTAGCGAGAAGATGCATCCAAATGATATAAAGCATTACCTGATGCCAGATGCAAGACATTTACTGTCTGTAGTTATAGATTCTGAAGGTTAAACAACTGCAAATTCCACAGATGCAGAAAATGGCAGTTTACAGGTGCACATTTGTAACCATTTTCCTTGATAGTATTGCACGACCTTGTTTAAGCAATCAAGTTCCCCAATAATAATTTTGTCAATATTCAGTATTGTAAAAATCAGAATGCATATCCTATCATTTCTATATTAACATCTATGTTAACAGTGCTCATATTTACCTGTGTTTTTTTTTAATATCGGCAAAAATCTGAATGTGCTCTGCTCCAATTTGTTTTCTGTATCTTAGCAGGTCACCTGCACAGGCATTTATTATCCCCTCATCAGCAACATGAGAAAAAACAAACCCTTCAGCTCGGATAAAATCAAGACCTGGGGGAAAAAAAATGTAAACTTGAGATAAAATGGGACAGTAAAACAAGAAACTTTAAAAACATATTTTATTACGTTAGCTACTATTTGATCATGTGCAAATGTTGAGGGACATTATATCTCGATACAATTTATCTTTATTTTAATGAGACTAATGTTTTCCAGAGGTGCTACAGTGACAGATCAGGGGACAGTAGCTCTGCATTACCCATAACAAAGCCACAAAGTGTTAGGGTTAGGGGCAATGAAACTTCCTTCCATGGACGAGAAGCACCGGCTGTTGTGAGACTGGACAGCTTGGCTTCCACATCCATTCATTCCCTGCTCCTAAGGGTGAGGATGGTCTTTTTGGATACAAATTAGATTAAGACCAGCAAATTATTTCACAAAGGCCCTTGAATTGCTAGTGATGTACTTGGGTGCTATCAACTTAAGTCAGTGGTTCTCAACCTTTTTAGACTCGAGACACCCTTCAGAAAATGCCAGCTCATAGTTTTTTGCTCATTTTTTTGATTCCAGAAAAATAATACTGCAAATCTTCTGTTGCAAAGAACTTAGAAAGACCACAACAGGCCAGAATGTTTTTAACACTTATGGATTCCTATTATAAAAATCTCTCGGTTTATCTTGTGAATCAAATGTAGGTGTTTGCACACCTAACAGTGCTACTATTGTGCTTAATAGGATCTTGATGCACCTGGCTGAGAATCACTGACTTAGGTTTTGGTGGAGTTACCTACCATATCCATATAGCAATGCCCTGAGTCATCACAAAACAGTCTCCTGTTCCTCAGTGCTGTGAGGAAGAGAAAAGCTGTATACCAACAGGACAGGCCAAAGTCTCTCCTTCTACCTGCAATTATATTTTAAATCTATTTCATAAAGATAGTCAGAGGTTCTAACAAACTAGGAACAAAGACAAGTCTTCTCTTCCTTAAATTGGTCATATATTGTTAATTTATTTATTACCAATGAACCCCAACGTTAGGGGCTCTGGGCATAGGACACACTTTAAAAATAGCACAAGCTGAACTGGCCATGCTATCCAACACAAACAGGCCTTTTGCCTCTGCACACACTGTACTTCCCCTGGCTACCACTGGGAAAAGTCCCTCAACTGGATGGTGGAGTTGCTCGTCCTTGTAGCTAAATCCCTCTGTTCAAATGCTACTAAAAATCAATGTTATCTTGCCATTGTATTTTAAGTAAGCAAAACCAATTATTTGGCTTATAATCCCGCATTGGTCTAAAGTGCTACTAAATCACAAGAGAGCTTTGCTTGAGTGGAGGATTGGGTCCAATAAAAATAAATCAATTAATACATCAGTTCCGCCAAGAATTTATAACACCACTGGGTAAATCAGGAAAAAGGTTGACAGGAACTCCTTCCAGGGCCTGCCTTGAGGGTTTCCCCTTCTGGTATACCAAACCTAGTACAGGCAGTCCTCTGACTTCTGACAAAATTGGTTCCTGAAAACCATGTCTTAAGTCGAAACGCCATAAGTCAGAACCAATTTTCTCATACGGACAGTGTTACAAATGGGGAATTGGTTCTTTTACGACAGTTGATACTATAAGCAGCTGGAAAGTGATGAGAAGGGAGGGGGAAGGGAAGGAAAGGCATGGGGTGGGGGCAGATCAACTCCTCCCTCCCCCCTCCCTGCCCCACCATGGTGAGGGAGGGAAGGGGCTGGGACAAGTGCTGCCCAGCCCTGGGGCTAGACAGAGGCAGTGGCATCCACAACTGCGCGCTGCTTGTTTGGTGGCCTGACTAGTGGTTCCCACCGCTGCTCCCGTTGCTGGTCCAGGGGGCATGATGGGGGTGTGTGCCCCCGGATCTGTGCAGGGTAGGGCGTGCGGGGCCAGGGCTGCACCAGGCTACACTCTGGAGGCACCCCACCCCACTGTGCCCTCGAAGCCACAGCTTGTCCAGGGGGCGGCTTCCACTTCTGCATGCTGCTTGTCTGGAGGCAGGGCAGAGGCTCTGCCCTGTGCCTGTCCTGCCCCAGCTGGGCAAGTGGTGGGAGGGCATGGGGTGTGTGCCCTCAGATTAGGGTGGGGCGGTCTGTGCTCGGGGCAGGTGGCAGAGGGGGGGCTATTGGG